AAAGTTTCTCTTCCTCCGTCTTGTTTCTGTCGTCGTTGGTCGGGTCTCGTTCTTCCTCCTCCTCCTCCTCGTCCTCCTCCTCTTCTGGATTTTGGCCGTTTTTCTTCCCCCAGCTGTGGCTGGCGGAAGCCAGCGCCATGTGTTGGCTCCGTTTGTGCAGGTTTGCTCGTTTCCTGTTTGCTGCCGTTCCTCCACCTTCCTCCCCCTATCCGCGCCAGAGAAAGCTAGACGGACCATGGTCCGCTGGGTAGGCTTTGCTGCTGTGCAGATGCCCGTTGCCAGGCTTCTCCGCCGCCGATCGGCACTGTGGCATGGGCCGGGTTGCCGCGGCAGGTAAAAAGCGATGCAATGCCTTGACAGTAGACGAGCCGATCCGGCAACATTTTGTCTTACACGCTTGCCGTTGTCTACCCTAGGCTGTCCTCAGAAGATCGTTTCACTTTTAGTTGAGCGTGCCGATTGCCTAGAATGCGGTGACATTAACCTGGCCGGCCAATCGAGCACGATCGTTCTTTGTTGTGGACGGGTATAGGGGGAAGTGGATTTTTGAAAAAAGCACGGAGGCGAAGTCGCACACGTTCATCTACGCGTGACTTGCAGACGCAAATAGTCTATATTGCGTAACAAAAGCATGCAAGCATTATGTGTCTGTCTTATTGTCTCCAGGTCTTGGCGCTGTTCTGGCACGCGGCATCCAGGAGGGGAGCAGGGAGGAGCAGGGGGAGGAGGAAAGGCAGTAGCACGAGAAGGCAATGGAAAAGGGGGAGGATGGGGAAGCTGAGGAGGCGGCGGAAGATGAGGGACAGAAGTCGAATGAGGAAGACATGGTAGAGAAACGGAGTTGGTGAGTGAGATCGATAGCAAGGGGAGAATGGACGCGTTTGCAATCACAGGGTTGGCTTGTGCGTGAAAGGCCCATATATCACCAATGCGGCTTTGCCTAGGGGGCTCACTTGTTTAGGGTTGGAGGGTGCGAGTTTCCCAGCCTTGTTTCCATACAAGGGCGCTGACTTGGTTGCTTTGGTCTCGTATCCTGACAAGGGCGTCGCCCCAGGTTCTCCTGTCTTGCTTCCTACAGCAGCGATCCCCGTATTTGTTTCGTCGTTTGTCTTGACAAGGGCGTTGTTTGGGGATCCTCAGTCTTGTTGCCCAATGTGTTTTGGGGGGGGAGGGTCCGTCAAGAACCGTTGGGTGCAGGGACCGGTTGACGCCAGCCGTCTCTCATTTGGATTTGGTTGTGTTTTTGGTAGAGGTTTCTCCAGGGAAGCGTTGATCAGTTTTCTCCCATGGCAACGCTTCTCTGGATTCATTGAGATTGGTTGCTTTATTCTTGGGTGTTGGTGTGTAGGTTCTTTGGTCTTTGCTCCTTCGTCGTTGGTCGTGGTTCCTTGATCATTGGTCTTGGTTCCTTGTCTCTTTTGGTCCTTGGTTCCTTCGTTATTTGGTTTCGGTTCTTTGGGTTCGGTTCCTTGGTCCTTATTCCGCTGGTCTTGGTTACTTGGTTTCTTTGTCGTGGCCCTTTTGCTGCGATGCAAACTAACCATGCCATAGGTGGGGCGTTTCTCAGAGTGGGGCCGCGCCGGGCTCATTGCTTAGAGTGTTCGTCTGGGCTTTATTGGGTGAGGAATTGATTACTCGTGTGCATTATACTGCATCTGTCCAACGTTGTAGCAGATTGTCACAGCATCACAGGCATGTCGGTCGCAGGACCGCATTGAGCTATTATCGCTTGGGCTCTCGCCAGCACGACGAGCTCGCCTCAGAGTTGTCGTGCTTGAGCTGGTCGTTAGAATGTGCGTTGAAGAAGTTGAGCGCGTAGGACATGAGACAACATGAGTCATTCGCTGCCGATAGAGGAATCCTGCGATATCTCGCGGATGGGCTGCAACGGCTTGCGCACTACTTCTCGCGGGCACCGCGGCCGAGATCGTTGCCCACTTCCAGGAGCGCTATAAGCATGATGACGCCCGGTCTCTTGAACTCCGCGCTCTCGTTCGTTGTCCCAGCTTGCACGTCTTGACAAGCGGTGAGTCCTACATCTGCTATATTGCCGTCGCTCGATCAGCTTGTCAATGTTACACCTCTGTTGCTGCGTCTGCCACTGGACTCAGCATGTGTTCTGGGATCTTGCGGTTGTTGGTCCCCCCAGTGTAATTCTTCACGCTTCGCGTATCCCCACCAGCCCATCTCAAAACAGCAACTCTTGCAGAGCATACCGACAGTCGTGTTTTTCAGGCGTGTTTCCGCCTGCCCCCGCATATCTCCCCTGTTCCTCCTTCCTCCCGCCTCCTTGTACATCCTCCTTGTGGTGGGAGCGGGAGAAGGACGAGGCGGAGGAGGAGGAAGAGAAAGCGCTCCTCGTGGTTTAGCTCTTTTGGCTGTTTTCTCGTCCTGGTGTGAGTCGTCGGACCCGGGGAGGACTCATAATTCGTCCCTTCTTCCTTGTGTGAGTCGTTCGGGCTCTTCGTGGTGTGAGTCGTTCGGGCTCTTCGTCCTGGTTGAGTCGTTCGGGCTTCTCGTGGTGTGAGTTGTTCGGGCCCCTCGTCCTGGTGTGAGTCGTTCGGGCCCCTCCTCCTGGTGTGACTCGTTCGGGCTCCTCGTGGTGTGAGTCGTTCGAGGCCCTCGTCGTGGTGTGAGTCGTTCGGGCTCCTCGTGGTGTGAGTCGTTCGGGCGCCTCGTCCTGGTGTGAGTCGTTCGGGCCCGGAGCCTCTTGGAGGCCTTTTGGGGCGTCTTGGGGGCCTCTTGGCGGCCCCAGGGGCTTCTAGGAGCGTCTTGGGTGCCTTGGGGGAGCCTCTTCGGGCCTCTTGGGAGCCTCTTGGAGGCCGTTTGGGGCGTCTTGGGGGCCTCTTGGCGGCCCCAGGGGCTTCCAGGAGCGTCTTGGGTGCCTCGGGGGAGCCTCTTGGGGCCTCTTGGGGGCCTCTTGGGGGCATCTTGGGGGCCTCTTGGAGGCCTCTTGGGGCCTCTTGGGGCTCTTTGGGAGGGGTCTGGGAGGTATCTTGGGGCCATCTTTCGGGCGATCGATCACAGATGGGGCGAGCACTTTTCTCCTCCCCCCCGTCGGGGCCAGAATCCTCGTGAGGGGTGTCGAATTTTAGCCCTCCCAGGAGTCGAAAAAGACCCCTCCAACGACCCGCGAAACCCCCTCTCCAGGTCCAGGGGTAGGGGGTAGGGGGAGGGGTAAACCCCTCCCCGAAGGGGAAGAAGGGGGGTTGAGAACAGAGAGAGCTCGCTAAACCACTCACGCCCAAAGGGCTGGTGGGATTAAGCACATCTCACACGTTGTCGGGCAAATGTTTCTGGTTTGGGGAAGCGTTGGCCGAGGGCAAGCATTGCTGAGCTGGACTGACGTGGGATTTAGGTTGATGGTCGTCATGCATGAATTATTTTGTTTGCCGAACTTGCTCGGAAGCAGAACGAATCAACGGGTTTGGTGTTTGGGCCCATGCTTGACAACTTCCAGCTTGCACACATAAACCGCAACTTGATTGGTGTCACGTGCATTCACAGTTACACTACTAGCCATATGCCTTTGCTCGGCGGCATGGTACCAGATGGTGTCCATGAAGTGCGGTCTGATTTGGCGTCGAAATCCAAGACGCCCATACATCCAAGACGCCCACTGTGCGAACTTCCACCGCCCCTGCCCTTTCAAAAACGCCTACGTGGCGAAACTTCGGGCCAACGCCTGGCTAAGCTTTTGGACGATGCTTTCCCCTGTTGTGAAAACCCTCGGGGGGAGGGGAGAGCACCTCGCGGGGAAGGGAGTGGAGAAGAGAGGGAGATCTATATAGCGAGGGGACGAGAAAGAGAGGGAGAGAGGGGGTAACAAGCCAGGTGCGCTCGTGCCATGTCTGACGTTGTACCTCTCCCTCCAATTGCCTGCCATTGCGTTGAACCCCTATCCATTCACACAGTCGGATGTCGAAACGGACAATAGTCCCCAGAGGGCGCGCGATGCATGGCGAAGCACACAACAGCATGTCAGAGGGGCAAATGCATTCTTGAGAAGGGCCACCGACGAGGGAAATGAAACCAACACCACAGTGGGAGTATAGCATTGCGGGGCCGACACTGTAGAAAGAGGCCTACGCTACAGCGAGTGGGAGGACCGAGAACGCAGAAATGATGCAAAGGCTGCAGCGGGGGCGCAATTTGGAACGGCGAGAACCCGGAAACGGAGCCAGCATGGCAGCAGGAGGGCCATTTTGGGAGAAGCGCGTCCGCTCAGGTAGGGAAATACATGTCGAGCGCATCCATTCGCGCCCATCACGTGCATGAGAAGACCGCGTGTGGAGGGGGGAGGGGCGCTGCCCGCAACACGTTTTCAGCACCTGTTCGGGGAAGGGGCGGGGTTTGCATTTGCATCGTGTAATGATTGAAAACAGAGGAAGAAGCTGTGAAAGGTATGAGGTGGAGGAGGTTTCTTGGGAGCCTCCTGGGGACCTCGGGGTGCTTCGGTCGGTGGGGGGGGCTTCTGAGATCGTTTTCGGGCGCCGGTAGTCTGACTGATGCCGTCGGAAGCCGTCTTTTGGGCCTCTCTGGGCAGTTTTGTGGACTTCATGGGGCGCTTTAAAGACGTCTTGGTTTTCGGATCCTGTGGGGGCCTCTGGCGCTGTCTGGAGGACATCTCGGAGGTTTTAAAACAGAGAAAGTTGCCAACGCACTGATACAAGCAACGGCTTGAGCCTCTGTGGGCCCTCTTGGAGGGTCTCTTATAGCCATCTTGGGCCGTCTCGAGCTGCACTTCGGTCTTACTTAGACCGTCTTGGGCCGTCTTCAGGCCATATTAGGCCATCTTGGAGGCATCTTGGGGCCATCTTGGCCTCGATTGGGCCTCCTAGGCCGCCTGGGAGATGATCTTGGAACATGTGGAGTCAACGCACCAACTTGGAGCCCATGTTGGGCCATGTTGGCCGTCTTGGAAGCTGGCGGCACGTGTTTCCTTGTCCACCCAGGTCCTCACGAGTGGCCGATTGGGTCGGTTGAAGCCCCAATTCCGCCACAGCGCTTGGGTCGTGGGTCAGTGGCTTCTTGGGTGTTTTCCGGGATCTCTTGGGATTCTTTGTGGAGGCCTCTTGGGGACTCTTGCAGCCTCCATCGAGTCTATTCGGGGCACCTTGCGGCCAGTTCGGGGTTATGGGGCGATTTTTTAGGGCAGCCTGGGAACATGTTTGCGGTTTCGGAGGCCATGTTGAGACATGAAAAATTAGCTTGACGACGGACCCAACCATGTGCAGCTGCGAGTACCGCGAAGGATATGAGACGGAGGAGGGGGGAGCCCTGGTGGCCCTCCAATGGGGCTTTCGGTGGAGCTCCCTATGGGGCCACGAGCCGTGTGAGGGCTGTGCCGAAAGAGGTGGCGGGGGCGCATGAAAACTGTGGCAGTGGGGCCTTCGGTGGAGCTCCCTATGGGGCCACGAGCCGTGTGAGGGGTGTGCCGAAATGGGTGGCGGGGCCGCATGCAACCTGTGCCACTGGGGCCTTCGGTGGACCTCCCCATGAGGCCACGAACCGTGTGAGGGGTGTGCCGTAGGGGTGTGAGGGAGGAGGGGAGGGATAGCAGGAGGAGGAGGAGGAGTAGGAGGAGGAGGAGGAGGGATTGAGGAGGGGGAAGTAGGAGGAGATGAGGAATGAGAACGCGGGGCGTTGTCTCTTCAATACGAGGGCCCAACACCACAGGATGGTTGGGAACAAAACAAGAATGGTCGGATTAGTAACGCAACAAGCTCTGAGGTTTTCGGGAGTCTGTTGGGCGCCTCTTGGAAGCGTCTCGGGGGCATCTTGGCGGTCTCGAGGGCCGCCTTGGCTCCAGAAGGTTCTTGGCGCCAATTCGTGGCACCACCCTCCTGAGCTCATTGGTCGGGGAGTTCGTTCGCGAAACGTCAGCTTGTCGCGTTCAGGATATGTCATGTGTTTTGTCCGCAGCGCTGGCGGTCGCGAGCGCGGTCAACGGGGGCGGGCCGCGCGCCAGGTTGTCCAAGCCAACGACGGGTGGAACACCAACGAAGTCGCGGGGGAGGTGGCGGAAAGAGGAGCGCAAGCGGAGGCTTCTCGGGGCCACTTGGGGCCTCCTGGACTCCTCTGGGGTTTCGTGAAGCTGGGCAGCTCGGGAGCGCCGATGCCAGCTCCTCGCCCGAGACGTCCTCACAGACAGCTCCGAAAGCAGATGACATCGAGCACGCGAACAGGCAGGCCGCCCGAGGCGTCCCCGCAATCTGGGCGCGAGCGGGCGAGTGTCACATCCCCTCCCGGGTGCCCCCCTTGGGATTGCTGAAGCCAGCGCCTCGCCTGAGACATCCTCACAATGTGTGTGCGAGTCGGATGAAGAAGTGATGTGACTGAGTCTGGTTGAGGAAACGCGAGTCCGAGTATGAGTGAGTCTGCGTGTGAGCGGATCTGAGTGACAGTGAGTCTGGGTGTGAATGAATCTGAATGATGGGGGAGTCTAGGTGACAGGTGAGTCTGAGCGACGAGTGAGTCTGAGTGATTGGGTCTGAGCATGAGGGAGTTTGAGTGGTGACCGAGCCCGAGTTAGGAAAAAGTGGAGGAAGGTGAGGTGTGAGGACGCCTTGGCGCGGTCAGAGTACCAACAAGAACCCCATCTCAGGATATGGTGAAGAATCGGAGTGGGTGGGAAGGGCACGTATTCTTCAAGGCATGCTACTTCCTGCGTGCGTCGTCTGACCTCCCATGCTTTGTTGTCGAGAGTTGCCCAGGATGGCTGGCTTTACGGCGAGGTCTCCCAATGGCGGGCGGGCGATTGGGCGGGGATATCAGATTGCATGAGAGGTGATAGGATGCCTGATTTGGAGACGATGCGATGGATGCGTGGATGAACAGTATTTGCTGACGCGTATGGCTTGTATCCTCGCCTTCCTCCACGCGGTGTCTTGTGTCATCTCGTTTTCAGTGAGCTGTGCGACTGGCATCGTGAAGCGTGCAACGCCGCGAGGGTGATGGGGAGCTCCTCGTGTACATGAATCTCCCTGCCTCACCGATCCTCATCTCGTCCTTTTCCTCCTGATCCCTATCCGAATCCTCACCCCTTGCTGCCCGCCCTGCGTCCGTCGTCACCTGATGTCTTTCTTCCGTCCTCCGTCCTCTGTCCTCCTCTTCCGTCTCGTTCTCATCCTCCTCTTGGGGAGATATTTCCCTCAGGTTGGGCTTTCTGTCAAAGCCCACGGCGGCTCGCATGCAGAGTCTGGCAGAGCCTCAGGGGGAACCTTCGCGGCAGTAGCATAACAGAGAGGAGGAGGAGGAGGAGGAGGAGGAGGAGGAGGAGGAGGAGGAGGAAGGCAGAGGAAGAGAAGGGAGGAGCAGGAGGGAGGCAGGAATCTCAGAGTAGAGCCGAGGTGCCTCCTGGACGCGCCGTAAGCCATGACCTTTGAAGATTGCAGCTGGGCCCTTCGAGATTGCAGTTGGGGTCTCAGCGAAGGGGAGACAAATGTCATGCAGGGCAATATTTCGGCGGACTTGCTCAGACACCTGACATTGCAGCTATGGCGCGTGGACGCGTTCAAATTTTCGCGGCATGTCCTCCTCCCCCTCATCCCCCTCTTCTCCTCAACCCCCTCTCCTCGCCTCCTCCTCCTCATAGTGTTCCTCGTCTCCATCCTCCCCCTCCATCCTACTCCTCTTCCTCCTCCACCCTCCTCCTACTCCTCCTCCTCCTCGTCGTCCTCCTCCTCCTCCTCCTCCTCCCTCCTCCTCCTCCGTCCTCCCCCTCCTCCACCACCTCCCCCTCCTCCTCCTCCTCCTCCTCCTCCTCCTCCTCCCCCTCCTCCTCCTCCTCCTCCTCCTCCTCCTCCTTCTCCTGCAGAACAGGCGAACAGGCGAACGCCACCGAGGGTATATTGCCTTCCGAAAGGCCAGGTAGCCCACAGAGGATTAGCGAGTCCTCCCAGGGAGGAGCAACCTCAACTTCCCTCCTCCCTCCCTCCCCTCCCTCCCTTCCTCCTCCTCCTCCTCCTCCTTCGTCTTCCTCCGTCCTCCTCCTCCTCCTCCTCCTCCTCATCCGTCCTCCGTCCTCCTCATCCTCATTCTCCCGGGGAACTGGCGACGAGGGCAGCTTTCCGACATACCAGGTAGCCCACAGAGGATTAGGGAGTCCCCCCAGGGAGGAGCAACCTCAATTTCATGTTCAACATTGGCCTCGTCTCGTCGTTTGCTTGCAGCGCGCGAGCAATGTATTCCGGCGAGCCTTCCTGTAGCTTGATCTTTGTTTTCGGGCTATCGGTTTGTGCTGGCGAGCGTGTGAGACAGATGCGTTGAGTCGTGGAGGTTGGACGCATAGCAGGAGGATAATGAAGAAGAAGAGAGAGAGAGAGAGAGAGAGAAAGAGAGAGAGAGACAGGAGGAAATCAGGATGAGTGGGGAAAGGGAGGAGAAGAATGAGGAGAAGCAGAAGCAGACAGAAGCAGAGCAATATTGAGAAGGACAAGGGGGGCAAGGGGGACGGGGGCGAGGAGCAGGAGGATGACGAGGAGGAGGAGGAGGAGGAGGAGGAGGCGGAGGCGGACGTGGAGGCGGAGGAGGGTGGGGCAGAGGCACAGACGCAGCAGCAGCAGCAACAGCAGCAGCAGCACCACCACCACCACCAGCACCGGCAGCAGCAGCAGCAGCAGCAGCAGCAGCAGCAGCAGCGAGAGGAGGAAGAGGAGTGGAGGAGAGGGGAGAGGGGAGTTCGCCTCACCCCGTGCCCTCCCCCCTCTCTCCTCCCTCCCTTTCCGCCTGCGCTCCCGCTCTCGTCCGTCTGAGTCCGCGATCCCCCCCCCTGCCTGGTCCCCGTTCTCCCTGTCGGTTGCGGTTGGCTTCTGCCGCCCAGCGGGTCGCAGCTTATTGGCCCTCCCCCTCCCCGTCGCTGCCACTTCTGCATCCTCATCCTTCTCGTCCTCCTCCTCCCTCCTTCTCCTCCTGCTTATCCTCCTCCCTCCTTCAACTCCTCCTCCTCCTCCTCCTTCTCCTCCTCCTCCTCCTCTCCTCCTCCTCCTCCCCCTCCTCCCCTCCCCCTCCTCCCCCCTCCCCCTCCCCCTCCCCCTCCCCCTCCCCCTCTCGCTCGCGCCCCGCTGCTCTCGGATTCCCCTTTTCTTCACCTGACCCCCCCTCGGAGGAGGAGGAGGAGGAGGATTAATTAAATGAGGGGGCGTAGGTGGAGGAGGAGGAGGAGGAGAAGGAGGAGGAGGAGGAGGAGGAGGACGGAGGAGGAGGAGGAGGACGGAGGAGGAGGAGGAGGAGGAGGAGGAGGAGGAGGAGGAGGAGGAGGAGGAGGAGGAGGAAGACGACTTTTAGTGATTAAGGGGCGCCTTAACCCCATGTGATAGGCCTGCGGCAATCTCCACCCCAGGGGTGACAGGGGGACCTGTGCCACAGCAGGCCACCCTAGGGGTGACAGGAAGAACTAGACCTCCCCAGAGCCTAACAGCGTCTCGCTGGATCGAGGGAAGACGCGTGTCAGACCTAAGTGTTCAATGTAACTTGCTGTGTTGCATCGCACGGCACGCGCACTCCATGCGCGCGACTCCTTCAGCCAAAACTGCTAACCATGTTAACGCCAGCTTGGGCGCAAACTGCTTCAACAGTTTTAACGCCTGTTGCGCCGCACCGTCCCCGTGGCATTTCCAGTGCCTTGCGTGGCGTGGGGGGATAGCTGTTCGGACGGTAGCCTAAAATCTGGGTAGTTGCAAGTTCCCGTGATGATGATTTGTGGTCGTTTGAGTGAGCAAAAAGTGCGTCCCTGTTCTGGGGCGCGGTGCGGCATGGATACACGGATTCGCTGGTACACCCAAAAGTAAGTTGAGGTGTCGAAAGCTAAACATCCAAGCAGCAGGACCGTGGGACACGATAACTTGCACCACGTATGGTGTTGTTGATGTGGACCTTGATTGCCCTGGAGTACATCGGGACCTACGGACTGGATCAAGGAATGAATTGTGTAGAGTACGCGGTGATAGCGATTTCGTCTGCCTGACCAGAATAACAACCCCTCCAACTGGGCGGTTGCTGTCCGATCTGGTTGCTGGATTGAACGTCGGGTACCGCCCGAGGCACATACACGCCTCCGAGCCTAGTTTGATTCGTGCGGGTCGTCCAGGAGGGTTTTCAGTAAAACAAAAAAAATGCCTGACGAAAGTCCCAGCCAGTTGCGGGTACTGGATGGTTGGGACTTACCCGCGTGTCTTGAAACTTTCCCTTCTCTAAAAGGCGGCGGACCGTTGTCCAGACATCCCCATCGAAGGTGCAGAAGGGCATTGCCGCAGAACTCTGCGGCAAGACAAGGGCAGGCAAAACTGCGGCCGGGGCCCCAAAAAGGGGAGGCGCCTTCTGCCGCCGCGGCCACGGCCGGCCTCGCGCCCTCGTGCGGAAGGGCCGCCTCATCGGGCTCGGCAGCGCCGATCTGCGGGACGGGAGATTCTCCCGCATCCTCGCCCGCCGGGGCTGGGACTCCCAGGGCGGCCTCGGCTGCGCCTCCTGCCGCATCCTCGCTCGTCTCGCCCGCGAGCTTCCTGGTGTCCCGCTCGACATCCTCCGAGGACTTGGCAACCTGTTTGATTTTATGGGCAAATTTCGCCTCTGGGCCATGAACTGGGACGGCGGGCAGCGGCTCTTCCGGCTCCGGAGGCTCGCTGGTGCTTTTGTTGATGTAGGCATTGATTTTACCCTGAAGTTCATCTGGGTCTCCCGAGTGGATGTTGATGTCTGGGTGCTTGCGGAGGCATTCCAAGATCTTCGCAGCTGAAGGATCTTTGTTGCCCGCGGGGGTCGGCGGGTGCAATTGTAACTCGGCGGCCTTTACCTGCTCCCGGGCAGCGCGAACCTCTAGGATGCGAGACTGTATGTGGGCAGCGATGGCGAAGTGCTTGTCGCACAGGTTGTCGATCTGATCGCCGATGATTTCCATGTCCAGGATCTCTTGTGCGAGCGCCTCCTCTGCTTTGGAGCGACGGGCAGTAACGGCCTGGTACTTCTCCGCTGTGGATAAGGCGAGGAAAGCTTCCTCCTCGAGGCGCTTCAGGTTCTCTACTGCTGCCCAAGTGTCGTTGATTAGCCCCTGCCGAGCCTAGCGTCGAGTGCTGCTCCTAGAAGGTGACCTCCTCCTTGGCCACTGCGATCTTGGACAGCGGTCGAGTTGGGACCCTGGCCTCCTTGCACGGGGGGCCCTGTCAAGGGTCTCCATTTGCAGCCCTCTTTTTGTTTGCTCCGGCTTTCGCAGGAAGCGAAGAAATTTGGTAGGTGCCTTTCTATTTGGGCTGCGACGGCGCAGCCGTAGGGCCCAGAGACTTACCTTGCGAGCGGAATGGCGACGGCGTCGTCCCGGCGTAGTTCGTTTTGTCCTTGCCTCGGGGGAAAGCTTTGGCATCGCTCGGACGTGTGCATTGTTTCTCGGCGAGAAGCATCGAGGACCATCCTGGACCATCGAGCAAAAAAAACACGCACGAAACCGAAAGATGCACGGGAAATGGACGTCCGAGCGACGGCAAGAAGCCTGGCCGCCGCATTCGAGGCGTTTTTGCCCAGCCGTGGGTGGCTGCCGGATGCTCGAAGTGGCAGTCGACGCTGTTGGCGCAGACGATGGCACCGGTGGCTCGGGGCCGCGAGTGCCGCACTGCTCCCCGCGGGTGCACGCGACCCAGTTGCTCCCTGAGCCCACAGGCCCTCGGTGGAGAATGCCATCACAGGGCGGGCCTGGGAAGGGGCCAAGCCCCTGGCTGATCGCAGGGCAAGGGGCAGTGCGGATCCAGGGCCTCGTGGTGGTGGAAGAACTTGAAGCAGAGGCGTCGCCGCAACACTCGAGCCTGAACGGTGGCGGGGCGGCGGCTGGGAAATCCGCCAGGGTCGCAGGAAAATCTTTCCCGGATCCCTAGGGGGCCCCAGGCGATCACAAAATGGCCCTCAAGGAAGACCCACCGCTGAGATCTTCATCTTGGGACCTGCCAGGGTCGCAGGACGGCCCCAGGAGGGTCCCTGGAGGGCTCCTATCCTGCCGCGGGATGTCCTGGGGGACGAACTACCGAAACAGTCGCCTCCTGGGCCCCTGGATGGGGGCCTAGGATTGTGGACGCACCCAGTTGTGACCCCGTCCGAGTCCAGGCAGCCTCCCTCCCGAGGTCTAAGGGCCACGCGGCCTAGACGAGGCTCCGATGATGGCACCTCATATATGAGTGCACGTTGCATGAGTTGTATCGATACGTGTGAGTGATGGTGGGACGTTACCTTTTGGCTGACTCCTGTGTGTTCTGGCCAGTGGAACCGGTACCCAGATAGTTTCAGCTAGTGCTTAGGAGAACATTTCCGCCAGTGCTTAGGAGAACAATTCGGCCAATGCTTCGGGGAACAGTGAACAAAAAGACAGGAGCGGATCTGTGGCTCACGTCGATTGCCCAAGTCATTGCCACCTCTGTTCCCCGTCAATGATCTGGTGCACGAATGCGACTGGCCAGGAGCCCCCCAGGAGGGAGGGCGCGGCATACCGCCAGGAGCCCAGGAAGGCATACTGGGACTGGGACCCGCCAGGATCAGCCGCATAGTGAGGGTGTTCAGTCTTTTCACTTTTTGCGCCCTTCTTCCCGCCGCACCCGACCCAACGGCACCCGCTGGGGGACAGCCCCCGTGCCCGCATTGGCTCGAGCGCAGCAGCTGCGCTCAAGGTCGAGTGGAGCCGGCTCCGCACTGACAAGAATACCTCGGTACCGTCAGGGCCCGCCTCGCGAGCAGAGGAAACAAATAATGATCGCCGAGACTTTATTATGTGCAGCTTTCGCTGGCCCCCGTCTTCTGTTAGGAACCTATTCGGATAATGAGTACAACCAGCAATGCCCCCAAGACGCATGCCTCGTGGGTGGGGTAGGTGCGATGGGGCCGCCGGCACTTCCGCCGGGCTCCGACACTTCGAAAGGAAATAAGACCGCTGGCATTGCCGCCAGTCTGATTCCAGGAGGCGCTTGCCTCGTAGGTGGGGCAGATGTGCAGGACCGCTGGCATTGCCGCCGGGCTGCGTCCCAGAGGGCAGAACCTCCGACGTGTCCAAACACTCAAACGACACAAAGAAGTCCCCTGGCATTTCCACCATGCTGTGTCCAAGAGGCGCCTGCCTCATGGGTTGGGTGGGTGGACACAGCCCGGCATTGCTGCCGGGCTGCGTCCCGGAGGGCAGACCCTCCGACGTGTCGAGAGTACCAAGGACCGTTGGCAGTGCCGCCAGGGTGTGTCAGAAAGCTCTGGCCGCGTAGGTGGGGCAGGTGTGCCCACCCAGGGATGCAGGATGATTGTTAGTAAGATCGCCCCCCCCATGGTCGACCGACCCTGGGGCGGGGGATGGCTGCGTCAGATTGATACCCTAGCCAACAGCCGTACGCTGTAAGGGAGGGGAGGGCGATTGCAGTGTAGTGCTGGTGTCCTTGAGACAAGACCTTTGGCATTACCGCCAGTCTGCGCCCGTAAGCGCTTGTCTCGTAGGTGGGGCACGCGTGCAGGACCGCCGGCATTGAATCCGCCGGGCAATGTCCCGGAAGTTGAAACCTCCGACGAACCGAGTGAAAACAACAGGCTGCGTCGCAGAGACGCATGCCTCGTGAGGGGGGGTAGGCGTGCAGGACCGCCGGCATTGCCGCCGGGCTATGTCCCAGAGGTTCAAGCCTCCGACGAACCGAATGAAAACAACAGGCTGTGTCCAAGAGAGACGCATGCCTCGTGGGTGGGGTAGGTGTGCGGGGCAGCCGGCATTGCCGCTGGGCTGTGTCAACTTCCGACTTGTCGAAAGTGAACAAGAGCATTGGCGTTTTTGCCAGACTGTGCCCAGAACGCGCTTGCCACGTAGGTGGGGTCGGCGCGCGGGACTGCCGGCATTGCCGCCGAGCTGTGTCCCCGAAAACTCGGTGCCCTTGATATTGAATCCCTGGGGATAACAAAATTCTACCTTAGAAAACGCCGCCCCAGCGACACGCCTGGCACGCCGCCCCGGCGACACGCTAGGCAAGACACCGCCCCAGCAACGCGCTTGAGCTCACGCTCAGAGGAGAAAGGGGGGGTAAACTTTATTATCCGGGGCTCTCGGTTCACAGAATACCCTTCGGAACGAATGAAGAGAAGGCCTTTGGCAATTCCGCCAGTTTGTATCCAGCAGGCGCTGGCCTCGTAGGTGGAGTAAACGTGCGGGACCGTCAGCATTGCCGCCGGGTTATGTCCCGGAGATTAACCCTCCGACGAATCGAATGAGAGTAATTCGTAATCTTGACAATCCGCGCAACGTTACAAATTCGCAGGACTGCCAGCCTTGCCGCCGGGCAACGTCCTTGAGGCAACAGCCTCGCCACGGGGGCTGGCGCGCATAGTCTGCGGGCGCACGATGGCTCGCACTGCCGTCGGCCAGCGTCTCAAAGAGGACGAACTTGGTAACGGTTCGACGCGAAAGGGTGCAGGGCCGCCGGCCTTGCCGCCGGGCAACGTCCTTGAGGCGTCCGCCTCGCGACGGGGCCAGGCGCGCAGGCTCGGCATATGCGCGCAAACTGTCGTCGCCGCTAGGCAGTGCCCACAGGAAACGAGATGCCAGGACCAGGGAGAAGTGAGTGTGCAGGACCGCCGGCCTTACCGCCAGGTTGTGTCCTTGAGACAAAGAGGACGAAACTTGGTAACGGTCCGACGCGAGAGCGTGCAGGACTGCCGGCCTTGCCGCCAGGGAACGTCCTTGAGGCATCGGCCTCGCGACGTGGGCAGGCGCGCAGACTCAGCAAATGCGCGCAAGCTGTCGCTGCCGCCAGGCAGCGCCCACAGGAAACGAGGTGCGAGAACCAGGGAGAAGTCAGCGCGCAGGACCGCCAGCCTTACCGCTGGGCTGTGTCCTTGAGGCGACTGCCTCGCGACGAAAGCAAACGCGCAGAATCTGCGGATGCACGATAGCTGGCGCTGCCGCCCTTGCCTCAGTCACCCCAGGCTTGTGCCCGTGACTGTCCATCGACACGGATGGGCATCCAGGCCCGTACGGCCTTGCCTCCTTGGGGAAGGCCG